TTACATTAAAAGGGATCATGAAGGCAAGTGATACGTATCAGAAGCTTAACGCTAATATGCAAACTTTGCTTGAAGTTAATATAGGCTAGGCTATGTTCCAACATTGCATCTCTTTTTATTTTCCATCTTCATTGATGCTTTCTGCACAGTGACAACAACTTTAAGATGTACCAAGGTAAATATCCTATAATAACCAAAATAGTTTTTTCCCTTGAGGTATTGTTATTTATTTTTTTTTTAATTTTAATGAAAGTTTACAGAGACTTTGAATTTCTATTCTTTCATTGTTGCACACTTTCCTCCATGCCCATCCCTCTACCCCATTTCACTTTTGTCTTTGAAAGGTAAAAAAAAAACCCCAAAACTACTTTCATTATTATACAATAATACCCTCCACCCATCCACTCCACTATGCAGCTTTCATTCTGGATTCTTGTCATAACAATAGTACTTAATTATATCGTCCCCCTAAATAGTTCTATCCCTCATCAGTTTCAATGCAATATACATTATTTATCCCCCCAACTCCAGTCAGTCTCGCTTTACAACAGTTAGCACTGTGTAGTATTTGTCCTTTTGTGACTGAGATATTTCGCTCAGCATAAGGTCCTCCAGGGTCGCCCATTTTGTATAATATTTCATGAGTTTCTTGTTTTTCAATGCAGTGTAGTATTCCATTGTGTGAATATACCGCAGCTTCTCTATCTATTCGTTTGTTGATGGGCACTTAGCACTTAGGTTGTTTCCAACTCTTTGCTATTGTGACCAAAGATGCAATATACATAAGTGTTCTTATATCTGCTTGGGTGGCAGTTATGGTGTCTTTGGGGTATATTCCCAGTAGTGGAATTGCTGGGTCAAGTGGTATTTCTATTTGCGACTTTTGAGAAAGCACCATACTGCCTTCCATAGTGGGTTGCACCATTTTACACTCCCACCAACAGTGAATAAAGATTCCAGTTTTGCTGCAACCTTGCCAGCATTTGTTGATTGCTGTTCTGTTAAATTTTGTTATTCTTACTGTGGTGACATAATATCTCAGAGTTGTTTTGTTTTGCATCTCTCTTAGAGCTAGGGATTTTGAACATTTCTTCATGTGTTTGTTTGCCATCTGAATGTCTTTTTTGGTGAAGTGCCTATTCATATTCTGTGCCCATTTTTCAGTTGGGTTATTTACCTTTATCTTTTTGCTCAAGTATTTTATAAATTCTAGATATAAGTCTCTTTACTGACATGTCATTGCCAAATATTGTTTCCCAGACTGTGGCTTCCCATTTTACCCTGTTGGAGAAGTTTTTGGATATGCATACAGATTTGACTCATAGACGGTCCCATTCATCTGTTTTATCTTCTCCTGGTTGTAGATTTTTCAGAATGCTTGGAAGACTGTTTATGTTGTGAATTAGGACTTCTAGAGTTCTTCCAAGCTTTTCAAATGAAGTTTATAGTTCTTGGTTTTAGTCCTAGGTCCATAATCCACTTTGAGTTGTGTTTTGTGTATGGAGTGAGGTGTGGATCTTGCTTGAGTTTTCTGCAGATAGTTTTCCAGTTTTGCCAACACTATTTGTTAAAAAGGCTGTCATTTTCCCACTTAACCAGTTTCATTTCCTTGTCAAAAATCAGTTGACCATAGGTAGATGGTTGATTTACAGGTTCTCAACTCTATTCCATTGGTCTATGTTCTGTCATTTTACCAGTACCATACTGTATTGACCACCACGGCAGAGTAGTAGGATTTGAAATCAGGGAATGAGATACTTCCTACTTTTTTTCTCTTTTTCAGGAGTGCTTTGCTTATTCAGGGGCTCTTTCCATTCCAAATTAAATTGGAGATTGCCTTTTCCATCTCATTGAAGAATGAAGTTGGTATTTGTATTGGATTGCATTGAAGGTGTAAATTGCCTTTGGTAGAATTGTCATTTTCACAATATTGAGTTTTTCTATCCATGAGCAAGGGATATTCTTCCACTTCTCCAGCTCTCTTTTTGTTTCTTGTAGTAATATTTTATAATTTTCTTTGAATAGACCCTTCGTGCTTCTGATTAGATTTACTCCCAAGTATTTAATCTTGTGATTAGCTATTTTGAACGGTATTGTTTTTTAGCTCCAGCTCTGTATTCTCTTTGTCACTGTATAGAAATCCGATTGACTTTTGTATGTTGATCTTGTATCCTACCACTTTTCTGAGTTGGTCAACTATGTCCAGTAGTTTTCTTGCTGAGTCTTTAGGGTTTTCTAAGTATACTATCATATCATCTGCCTAGAGAGATAATTTTACCTCCTCCTTGCCAATTTGGATACCTCTTATTTCCTTCTTTTTCTTTATTCCTATTACTAAAACTTCCAATACAATATTGAATAGGTGAGGTGGGCCTCCTCCTATTCTCAAGGGGAGTACCTTTAATCTCGCTCCATTGAGAACCATGTTGGCTCTTGGAGATATTTATATATATATATACACACACACACACACACACCCCTTGGGTTTGCATATACATATATACACACACATACATGTATATGTGTATATATATGTGTGTGTGTGTATATACATACATACACTTTTTACTATGTTGAAGAAATTCCCCTCTAATCTTACTTTGTTGAGTGTTTTAATCAGGACATGATGTTGGATTTTGTCAAAGGCCTTTTCTGAGGTATTGTTATCTTGACTTAGTGTTGTTGTTAGGTCCTGTTGAGTTAGCTTGACTCATGGAGACTTTATATACAGCAGAAGGAAACCTTGCTTAGTTCTGTGACATACTTAGAATCTTTTAAGTGCTGAAGCTCATTGTTGCACTCACTGTGTCGTTCATCTCTCTGAGAATCTTCCTCTCTTTCACTGATACTTTACTTTTCCAAACCTGATGTCCTCCTTTCCCAGAGACTGGTTCCCCCTGATAAATCTTTCCTTCGTTTCTTCTAAGGAGCACTCTGACTGAACTTTTTCCAACACAGATTTTTTTGGTCTTTTGCAGTCTATGGTATGTTCATTATTCTTATCCAGGACCACAATTCAAAGACATTGATTCTTCTGCAGTGTTCCTTACGATGTCTAAGAATTAGAGAAAAATTTGTGATTTAAAACATCCAAGGTGAGACTGTGATTCTGCATTTCTGACAAACTCTTCAATGATTCTGATGCTGCTAGTTTGTTGCACAGTTGAAATTCTTGATGCTACCTCACACTCCATTCAAATTACACTGGATTATGAAACACTTGCTGCAGAAGATCAAAGACGACAGCTTTTAATAGGGGTATATATCATTGTCAAGAAAATAAAAGTTCTCACTGCTGGACCCATAGGTGACATCATTATAGATGGAGTAAAGATTAATATTGTCAGGAGATCCAAGATGGCGGCGGAGGCAGAGACAATGTGGTGAGCTGCGGGAGCAGTGGACCACTTGGAACAGGGCCACTATGGCCTTACACAGACTTCTGTTTATTGATAACTGAACACTTAAACAGTTAATGACTGGTCTTCAGTGAAGATTGAGGCTCAACAACAGGAATTCAAAGATTCCCAAGGAGAAATGGGTGAGTCCCGCAGCTCCCAACCCCCTCCCACAGAGCCCACACCGCGCCGCTGCCGCAGCAGCTCCATGAGGCTCCCACAGCCGGAACCTATGGATTCCCTCACCCAAGATGAATGGTAGGCACCAGGCCTCCCTAAGACTGGTACAGTGGAGCCACCACACTGCCGCAAAGTGGACTTGTTCTGGGGAGAATTCTTGGAGCCAAGATGGCGGCAGCAGGGGAAGCGGGTGGCCACTGGCCTGCTGCGCGTGAAATGAAGCGCGCCCGCCAGCCACCTGTGGGGGAGATGACATGCTGGAGATGGCGCGCACCCGCAGGCTGTCCTCCCGCAAGATGACGGTGCCCACCGGCCGCCTGTGTGTGAGATTACGCATGGGAGATGGTGCACGTGCACTGGCCACCCGTG